GACCGGCAGCTGACCTCTGAGCTGACCGATAGCTGATCTCTGAGCTGCCGCGGCGGGCAGATATCAGCGGTCTGATGTAATCGTGCTAGACATAACGTTAGCCACGGTTTCGAAAAAAAAATGCACCCTTATTTTCCAGAGCTGACTCACATTCTTCGTCACGCACCGCGCTCCCAAAAGATAGCATTCAGGGACCGGCTGCTGGTGTTCGGTCCCATGGGTGTCGATTCATATTCTTTTGAGCCCCCCCCCCCCCCCCTCCACCCCATGTTGAGCTGTTCCTCCCTCGGCTGGCTTGCCTCCCACTTTTTTTGCTGCCATATTACAAAAGTATAGTGAAATGGTCATCACGAAAAGACTGTCTACCTTGGACATCGTCTGCTGCCTATCCAGGGGTGTTGGTTCGCTCTTTGCCGGCTACAGGGCAGATCCAGGAATGCCGATCGGTGGAACCCCTTCCAGAAGGGGCGTCAACTTCACTCAAGGGGCTACTAAGGCTGCACAAGAAATCAGATATGCCTTAAATTTTGGCTGCCTCATTTTATGAAATTGCTGAAAATAACATAAGATCCACACTCGGCTGGTTGGTCTTCACCAAAGAGATGACCACGTCGCTTAATACAGGCCCGTCTCACGTGAGCAGCTTGCAGTGCGGGTTCTCGTGCCCGGTCGTGTCGGTCGATCGGTGCTGAAACATAATTGTTATTCACAGGCAAAGAACAAGATCGTGAGCGATCGAAGAGCATACTCCTCAGCAAAAACTCCTCTTCATACTTTTGGATTGTTAGAAACTAGAGGGTTTTATATTTTGAGAAAGACGGGGCTTTGAACTGCATCGAAGGCTCCTCAAGTTGCCAACTTCAGTTCAGAATTCCATACAAATGTGAAATTCTTTCTTAAATGCAAAAACCAGGGGGTCATTCTCAGGACCAATGAACACCTGACGAAGATCGGAGAGCTCAATGTCGGAAACATTGTGTATCTACCACTTACACTTACGAGAGTGAGTCTGAAAACACATTCAATCTGTAATGCTCGCACTCCGTCTTATGACATTGGCAGAATTATGATCGTGCTGTGTGATTCCATGCAGTTTTTACACCGGTACAAGTTGTTTCTAATTTCAAAACAACGTTGCACATTATATTCGGTTTCGATTTTGGGCTCGCGATTTCCAATTGAAGGTTTCGGCTTGAACTTCGCATTCCTGAATTCAAAGCCCTGGACTTCAGCTTCCGCTTCGTAGGTATAAGTTCGAAGCCAATGACTTTAAAGTCGGCTTTATCTTAAAATATATAAGAAGCCACTAGCGTCGGCTTCGGTTCTGCAGATTCAAACCTAGCAGCAATCGCTTTCGGCTTCAATTGTGGCCACGCTACCTTGGCTTCGAACTTGGCTTCGAAGCCAGGAACCTGACTTCGTCCCAATGACTGACTTGGCCGAGAAAGCAGTGAACATAATCTCATAATCTCATAATCATAATCATTACGCATCATATAACTTAAGCTGTTTTCGGAACAAGCATAAGTCCATTTGAGATACAGCCTGAAAGGGAACGTTCCACATTTGAAGATATTTAAGTAAGCATCAGACATGATGCTACGGGCTCGCTTAAAACTATTTATATTCTTTTATGTGGAAAGGCCTATTCCAAACAGCACGGCTTCTCTGCACAGTAAATATTCTCTTTACTGCGTCATTGTTTGATTACGTCATCGTGCCTTGCACAACATTGATTGAGAGCTAATGGACGGCTATTTCATAAGGAAATCGCGCTCGCGAACACCAGATATGAACGACTCGACGATTATATTTTTGTTGGCCTTGGTCACCACATGGCTAATGGGATGGCAAATGGCATCATAGGAGCATGGGCGACCTTGAAATAGTCCCCGAAATAGTCTGCATACCTTCGTGGGCGTATAGCTCAGAAATTGGAGGGGCTTAATTCTTAAGAAGGGCGGGGCCGTGGAACAGAATCAAATGATCTTCGAGATGGCCGGTTCAGTTCAACACCGCATACAAATGTGCAACACTTGTTCTTTTTTTGTTGGTACCGCAGGGCACATGGTACTGTGCTAACCGGACAGAATCTTCCTCATCGAACCACCAGAACGCAGAGCTGGCGAGCGTAATACACGTGAGCAAATCGGTTAATGGTCGTGGTTCGCGGCGGTGCTGAAATGCATCACATTTACGGGCGTTTGTATGCTGGGCGCTGCAGGTTCTGTCACAGTGCATTGGCGTCTTTGAAATGGCGGTGCCTTGTCTTAAAACTTGTGTATCTTCTCAACGCCATGGGCAGCCAAATCCCTCATGGCTCTCTTGAGGAGCCCCTTTATCCTTAAGAATATTTTGTCGTCCTCACGACATTCTCAGGCGCCGAGGACGCCATTTTGGGATATCCAGACATTTCTCCACAATTGGGAGTACCAGGTTTTTATGACAACTTAACTCAATGGCAATTTTCGGCTGGCCTTGTGCAAACCTCTCGAGACATCTCCCAACAGGTATGCAAGAAAAATTTGATAGTAAAACAGAAATATAGTCCGGATCGACTTGCAAACAAAACTGAACAGCTTGTAATCCGATCAGCAATTGTATCTCCTTCAAAATTCGCATCCTCAGATTGGACGGATTTCTGAAACCAGAGAGCACGTAAAATAGCGGCTTTTGCGTGAGTCCCAAACCGTCTAAATTGTTATGAAATTCAAGGTCGACGATTGATGAAATAACTCCTGATGAGATCACAGTTCAATCTTGGTTGAAATTTGAATTGGAAATGTATGAGCAACCCCACAAGGAAATCTCAATCCGGAATTCGCCATCCTGCAATCCTGCTCTTATATCTGCTTCATAGGGGTAATATAGGGTGGCGTCAGAATATTTTGCGACCCGTTCTGATCTTAAGGTGACGTTGCGTTTGCAATCTTACTATGCAAAGAAATTAACAGCTCTGCAATAAATAAATTTTTCATCTAGATATCTGCGTTAAACAGACGTTAAATACTGGCGACCGCAAACGTTTTACTGATACGAATTTTGACGATGTACAAAATTTCACTTGACGTTACACTTAGACATCCTGCCTTGCCTAAATTTTGTGTGGAAATGCTGGTTTGAACCATCGACCCTGGACTCTGTCGAACCGTTCCTGTCGTTGAAGTTTCTAGGGTTGTCGTTCTAGTACCTCTAGAGTATAAGTTCTCCATTGACATATACATATTTGCAACAGTATTTTTCGGTAAAGTATTCGGGAGAGAATAGCAGAGTAGAACAGGTTTTCCAATGTGTGATTACTGGATCTAAACATCCCGTCAGGATCTTGACGGCCCGGCACGCTGCGAAAAAAGCTCGTTAAGCATATTTCACCATCGATCAATGCTTCTCAAGCACCTTGCTTACATTGCTGAGAGGTGCCCACAAATACCTAATGCGGTCCGAAGGATAATTATGTAAGAGATCAACGGCTTTGAAATGACACTGAGCTCCATAGCTTTGTCGCGATATGTCAGAGAATGTGAATATTTACTTGAAATAAGATGTTGTATTTCGACCACCGGTCTTCTCCAAACAGGCAAGTTTACTAAAAAAGGCCAGCTCCAACAGACGTGTTCTTGAAAAAAGAACCGCAGTTGACAAATGCTTGTAACAAAGTCCACTTTTCGGCATCAAGCGGTCCACCGCCAGCCACCGTTCATTGGTCGAGAATCCCCCCCCCCCCCTCCGCCGGACTCGCCGGCCGGATGGCGTCACCCTCCCCCCTGTTGGTGCGCGTTGCATCAGCCACCCGGGGGAGGGGAGGGGGTGTGCCGCAATAGAACCGTCTCTGTTCAGGCCCAGCTTTCTGGCAAATAGACCTGTTTAACGTTCCACATGGTATATAGTCTGGATGACTTGCTATTCAGGCCACATACCACCTGTTCCGCCGAAATCTAGAACAATGCACACCTCATAATGTGACTGAATACTTGCTTTCAGAAGTCATGCTCAGCGACTCAACAGCCAACGCTTGCATCAGACGGTTTCGAGAATCGCGAAGTGATTCCGCTCTTTATAATTGGTTAGCCAAATAGCCGCGTCCGTTGCATAATACGTACGTTTCCGTTGTTAATACGTACGCTACGTTTCTCATTGGTTGCTAATGATGTGACATTACATCACTTCCACGACAGGCGATCGTTACTGTTCCCGCGTGGAAGTGGTTTATAAGGGGAACCGTTTGTTACCAGGTGTACTCATAGACTCATTCGATTGAAGACGCAAGATTGCTGTTGGTTGTGTGCGTGGGCACTGCGATGTGGAGGGAATGTTGGTGAGTGTGAGCTACGGGTAAACAGAATCTCTAGACTGACATCATTTATCACGCCGACTCGCGAGAGGGACTGGCATAAGCGAGGTCGGCACTAGTAAAACTGTCACGCACACAAAAATCCTCCACAGCCCTGCATGCGCAGTCGATCCAGTGAACACCGCCTGTGATATATACGATGTCGCCGTCAATGCACAAAGCAGTCTTGGTGTCAATGACAGGGTCGAATCGAGATGCGACTGGGGTTGGGCGGGATAAGGACGCGCAAGTTCGCCAGATTTTTGCACCACTTGAAGATTAGTGGTAATAACAAAACATTGAATTCCGTATTTTTCATTAACAAATAACACTTAAAGTGGATCGTTCCGTTTTTTACACAATCACTAGGATCCTGCGGTCAAAGGTCATCAAGAACCTTTTCTATGTTGCAAAGCACGAACACATCGCGATGGCGTAAAATTTATCGATATTGGGGGAGTGCCGCCTTCCTGCCTGACCTGGGGTCCTGGCGTCACAACTTCATGGCACATTTTCCCGGTTCAAATTTTGCGTTTTTACGTAAGTTGTTAAATGCATTTGAGAGGAGCATTCTGCACATAAAGACACGAGTGATAACTTCATTCCTCGGAGAACCAGGAGAATAAAGACGTAGTCAGTCGGTCGACGGCGTGTTCACGGAGTAGGGGTAATGGGTGCGCCTGACTCGGCGGCAGGGTGCAGCCTGTGTGTGCACGTCAAGTGTGCGGGGAAGATCCGGCGGCGGTGTGCCGCGGAGCGGGTCCGCCGCCACCCCGCCTACAGTCTGCGCATCTGCCCGGAGACTGGACTCAGCGGGCAGAAGTTCAAGTGCGCCGAGTGCGCCAGATTCGTCCTGCCCGGTCGGTGAGATCACGGCATGTGTCCTGACAGCTGAGGAGTGGCAGTGGCGGCGTGTTCTATGAATGCTTTGCGCGTACGGTGCTGTTCCAGGGTGATATGAGTTACGCTGTCAAGACGGATAAGCTTGAACTTGACTAACGATGACATGTTTTACGTGTATCCATGACATGGTATGTACCCATCCATGACATATATTATGTTATGCACTACACCTTATGCACACACCTTAGAAGGTTACCGAGGGATTCTGTTGGAATGGTTTTGTATTTCTGTATGCGTGTCGCTCACATGTATTGCACTTCCAGCGCCATCAGAAACAAATCGTAAGCACACCGTCAATGATTGCAACCAAAACTAGCACAGACACAAAACTACTTCACACGTTTGCGCGTCTCCATGCCCTGGCCGTATAAAGCACTCAAATGAAAGCATGTTGGTGGCCCACCGTGCATCTCGCATGACATCCTCGAATAGGAACCGGGGAAGCATTCACAAGCCCCGCAAGACACCTGCCGCAGCAGAAAAGCTTGGGCGGTGTCCAAGATAACTATGCAAAAGCTGAGCATACGTATGCATGTACATGCACGGGTAACACCACATCTACTCCGTAGCGAGTCGGCTGCATTGCGCGGTGGGCCCGCACGGGGATCTGTCAGGCGCAGTCTAGTGCACGCGGGGCCCACGGACGAGCCGAGGGTGAGGCCCGGCTGACCGTGCCGCCTGAGCCCTGCAGACGCGAGCTGGACGAGCCGCGGCGCTCTGTACGCCGAGGGTGAGACCCGACTGACCGTGCCGCCTGAGCCCGGCAGACGCGAGCTGGACGAGCCGCGGCGCTCTGTACGCCGAGGGTGAGGCCCGACTGACCGTGCTGCCTGAGCCCGGCAGACTTGAGCTGGACGAGCCGCGGCGCTCTGTACGCCGAGGGTGGGACCCGACTGACCGTCCCGCCTGAGCCCTGCAGACGCGAGCTGGACGAGCCGCGGCGCTCTGTACGCCGAGGGTGAGACCCGACTGACCGTGCCGCCTGAGCCCGGCAGACGCGAGCTGGACGAGCCGCGGCGCCCTGTACGCCGAGCTGGACCTGGTCAGCTCGCCGCGGCTCTGCGACTACACGGGCCGCTACTTCTGCGCCCGCTGTCACCGCGGTGACCGAGCCATCATCCCTGCCCGTGCCATCCGCAACTGGGACTTCCATAGGTATCCGGTACGTGCCGGTGCAGGCGAGCACGAGGCCCCCGACTGCGAAGTGTCGGCTCCAGCTCACCAGAGGGGAAGGGAGGCTAGGAGCTTCGGGAAGTGCCTTTACGCTGGTGATGGATACTGGCGATCCCCGGTCGCAGTCGTGCCATTCATTTCCCATGTTTGTACGCCATGCCGCCCCAGTTATGATGCGTGATGCGTGAATACCCATGAGCTTATTCTTAGTCATCATCGGATCACGTACAGAACAATGTCCTGCGACCGCATGCTGCAGGTGTCGTGCGGGGTGCGTGAGTACCTGGAGCTTATGTTCGACCGGCCCGTGCTAGACGTAGAGGAGGCCAACCACCTGCTGTTCAGCTACGTGGAGGAGCTGGGACACGTACGGGTGAGCTTTGCCTTCAACATGCTGTGGCCACCTGCCAGGCTGCTGCGTCCTGGAGGTGGTCCGACAGGCAGACGCCACGCCCCGTCGGCCGTGCCGTCGCGTTGGCTTGATTCCCGTCGAGTTCATCCAAGACCTCCTGGCGCCTGCGGGAGTGCTTCTCGCCAGCAGTACCAAGGCGGTGGTTTTAGATAGCTGGCCCTAGGCACAGCGCTCGCCTGTCGTGCTCCAGCCGTACCCTGCAGCCGGGTGCCGTCAGCTAGCAGGAGCTGCGGCAGCGGCTGGTGCAGATGCATGTCGTACTTTATCCGTACCCTACAGCCGGAATGCCGTCGGTCAGCGGGAGCTACGGCAGCGGCTGGTGCAGGTAGCTGTCGTGCTTCAGCCGCGCCGTGCGGTCGGGGTGCCGTCGGTCAGCAGGAGCTACGGCAGCGGCTGGTGCAGATGCCTGTCGTGCTCCAGTCGTACCCTGCAGCCGGGGTGCCGTCGGCCGGCAGAAGCTGCGGCAGCGGCTGGTGCAGATACCTGTTGTGTTCTATCCGTGCGCTGCAGCCGGGGTGCCGTCGGTCGGCAGGAGCTGCGGCAGCGCCTGGTGGAGATACTGGCGCAGATAACTGTCGTGTTCTACCCGTGCGCTGCAGCCGGGGGGCCGTCGGTCGGCAGGAGCTGCGGCAGCGGCTGGTGCAGATAACTGTCGTGTTCTATCCACACCCTGCACCCAGGGTGCCGTCGGCCGGCAGAAGCTGCGGCAGCGGCTGGTGGAGATAATTGTGCATACAGCTGTCGTGTTCTATCCGTGCGCTGCAGCCGGGGTGCCGTCGGCCGGCAGGAGCTGCGGCAGCGGGTGGTGCAGATACCTGTCGTGTTCTATCCGCACCCTGCAGCCGGGGTGCCGTCGGTCGGCAGGAGCTGCGGCAGCGGCTGGTGCAGATGCGACGGTGCGCGCTGCCGTGTCCGGCTGACGGGGCGCGCCTGCCCTCCTGGCTCGAGGCCCGGCCGCACCTGCTAGGCTCGCCACGCCTCTACAGCTTGCGCGACCTCAGCGACGTGTGGTCCGGCCAGCTGGCCGCTGTACTGGTGAAGGCGCACGATCAGCTCGACGCACACCTCCGGAAGCGGTGTGAGGTGAGCGACCGTCTGTCCAGCGACTCTGTGCTCTCCATGTCCTCATCCGGACCGCTGGTATCCTACTCTTTTTAGGACGATGTTCTTATTTTTTTCATCAGGAACAAGGTAATGTTTTGCTAATCGTTTTGGACTATGACGTCACCGACATGACCGGTGAAAAATAACTTGCTGTGGTAGCAACATTCATGAAACGCCTGTTGAATGCTTTCAGTGAGAAAGGACTTAAACACCTGAACACGCCGATGGCGCATGGCGGACAAAAATAAGGAAAGCAATGCATTTTCACACAGATGTTTGTCACAGAACCAACCACATGTGTATCATGGCACCAGCAGCTATCGGTCTTGAACAGTCTGTTCTGGGGTCAGAGCTGACGGGTAACGTGGCCGGTGCCGTTCCTCAGACATGCCGCCGCACCGCCCAGACGTGCCAGCTGTGCTGGGAGGGCGCCCCGCTGTTCCCGTTCGACGCGCAGGTGTCGGCCTGCGTCCACTGCCGGCACGTCATGCACGCTCACTGTCGAGCGCTGCAGGCCGGCTCGTCGTGTCCGTGCTGCCAGCGGACCGACGCGTGCACCGACGCGGACGGGCCGGACGCACCCGGCGACGAGACGGACAGACGCCACGCGGACGGAGAAGAGGAGGCGACAGAGGAAGGCGACGGAGGAACAGTGGCTGGCGGTGGTAGGGAGTGCGGCGACGGGGCGGAGAGGGGCAGCGGAGACGGTGCGAACGGCGTGGAGCAACGGGTGCAGAGCGGAAGAAGGCGTGGAAAAGATGGCACGGAGACAGAGATGAGGCAGACGGGTGGGTCAGGAGCGGCCTTAGCCAGTGGGCTGCAACAGCCAGCCGGTACGCCGTCTGGGGCCGCCAGCCGGCTGGGAACGAGGCCCGTGATCGACGGAGTGTCGGCCAGCTCGGCCGCGTGGCTCCGAGCGCTCGACAAGGACAGAGACAAGGACAAGGACAGGAGCAAGGACGGGAGCAGGCACGGCGTCCGGCCGTAGCCGGTGGCCCCTTACCAGCCCCCGGTAGAGGCTCAGTCTGTCGCCACCGTTAGCAGAGCGTGGCAGAGGGTAGCCGACTGAGGCGAACTTCAGAACTGTGCCGGTGGGTGCGGTGTTTGGCAGAAACCGGCGCGAAAATGGCGTTGGGTGCTATCCGCAGCCACGTTAGGGAACTGGACAAGTCTTCATCTCTTTGAACTCACCTTTGACTTTTAATGCCGTGTTTTTTGTTGATGTCCTGAGTGTTGGGAAAGATGTTCTGTGTTGTGGTAAAGCATTCCATGCACAATGCGTCTAGATAGTAAGTTTGCTTACCAGATAGCCACTGCTTGACTGTCAGCACAGCAAGTTTACTAGAGGATTGCGCTGATTGGTGATTTCATGCAACAGCGTCATGGCGCAACGGTGTTTGTGGCAAGTAGAAAACTTGTTCAATCTAGAGAACCTACTCAATCTGCATGGCAGTCAGACACGTGTCCAGACTTATCCTCTCAGGGGAGAAGCGGCATGTGCCATTTTTAATTTGGTGTAAACCTCTCGGCTCAGGGGGAGGGTCCATCCCCCACCCTGGCCCTTTGGTTACGTCCCTGATGGTAGTGCATTGTAGGACGGTGTCGTTTAATGTCATGTGGCTGTCTGTAACTGCGTGCATGGATTTTGACCAAACTACTGCCCAAGCTGTGATTAAAAAGAAGACGGATTTTATCATATGGGCGATGATTTCAATCTAGACATTGCGTGTTTTGACTACCCTAGCTGAGAGTTTGATTTTTGAGTTGTCTTTGTAAGCCGTCGCTGAACCAATATCATCGAACGCGCACGATCGCATCACTTTGCATCACAACGTCTGTTCCGAATACTACCGTAGTGTCTTCGTTGCACTGAGGCCACGCCACCCTGTCAAAGATACGCCCAGCGGGGATTATATGAACGGATTAAACGAATATGTAGGTGTCGGGCGATAACCCGGAAAGTGTTACTAATTCGGGTTCCACGAAAATCAAAACAACAAAATCTGCTTTGCGAATATTTGGTACATTCCAGTGCCGAAATCACAGCACAACTTTCAAATCACACGATTTTTTAATGTTATTTTTTACATAACAGGTATATTTTGAATACAAAAAAAGAATACAGATGGGCCACTGGCTGGAAACGGGGAACGCGACAGTAGCAAATCAACCAACTCCGCGAAAACGTTTGGCCACTGCGGTAAACGTCCTGACTCGCTGGATGAAGTCAGCGACAATATACGTATTTTCATGTCTTGTTATGTGCCAAAAATGTTTTTGAGTGAAAAATTTGGTGATGTCTATGATATAATATTCAAACTCACAGTGCACAGTCTGGCATGAGACATCTAACATTACTAGGTTTGCAGTATGCGCTGCAATATTTTGTCGTGGTCGTCACACAATTTTTCAGCTAAAACGTTTTTACCACGTGACAAAGTACATTTTGGTCGCTGACCTTTTTCACTAAGCTGGAACGCTTTGCCATCCCTGGCCAGGCGTTTCGGTGTTTTTTTCTTCTCAAGTTGCATATGTTGCGTATTCCACTTTAAACCAATGGGGCACGTATGCATGCGCTGACAGTGCCCCGCCGGTCCAATCCGATCGCCAATCGATTGTAAAGTTCCATACCCACTGGCCTGGCAGCATGCCAAATTTCGTGCAGCCGGCTGGAACTGGCGGCGAGACGCAAATGCATTTGTGGATGACGAACGGACAGATGGACGGGCATTGTGCGGATTATAATATTTTCCGATACTTTCCGATAAAAAAATGGAGGTAAGCGAGCTAAAAAATACGGATGGCATTGAAAACCGCATTGTTATCAACTGCCTATCAATCTTGCAGACGAAATAATGTGATGGAAGGTACGCAACATTTCTGATTGCAGACCCAACTTGCTTTTTAGATATAACCCTTGGTTTACGTTAAAACTATGTATGCTTTTTGTAAACCTGTGCTTTGATTTCGGCATTCAGTTGTTTTCAGAATATTCGAAAGCTGATTCCGACATTTGATTTTAACTGAAACAAAATACTCTGCCGAACGTTCCATTCCGCTGAATACGCATTTTCCGCTTTATTTGACACTGTATCGTTAGCATTTGAAGAACCAGCCTGCCAGCCGGTTTCAAGCATTTTGTCATGTCACCGTTTTCTTATGTCGCCATGTATCAAAACATTGCCCTTTAACTGCTAACCATTTGGAGGTCCGGCCTTAAGGCAAGTCGTCGTTTTGGTACGCCGCCACTTTGCAGTTCGCTATTTTGTTGTTTGCCAATTCGACATATCGACTTATTTACATTTCACCACTTGGGGTTCACCATACGCCTCTCGCCACTTTTGAACATAGATGTTTTACATTTCGTCCCGTTGCAGTCAGCCATTTCACCGATTCTACTTTTTGGTACGCCGACTCTTTTGCGTGTCGCCATTCCACAGTCGTTATTCAGTAGCCAACCGAAAGGCACTCGTCAATGGGACCTTTGGACATTTTTTTCACACAACCTTCACAATATTATCGTGCACAAACGGCTGTACCCGCCGTGCACTATATGAAAGGAAATGTTCCACACTTGAGGATATTGTGGCTAGTACCACACATAATAAAGTAAAATCACTCTCAACTATTGCTTTGCCTTTAAGTTTAAAAGGACTGCTAAAGACAACAACAGCATTTAACTATCAAGTAAATATGTCACTCAATACGTCATCTTTGATTACGTTATGAAATTCATTATTCATTCAATTATTTACGTCTATATGACGTGCGCGTCGCGGCCAGACAAACCATGTCAGGATTGCCACAGTAACGGACGGGCCTGCTCACCTGAAATACTGCAACTTGCTGAAAGGTGGCGGTGGTGGGGCCGATTATTGCTATGGGCTCGTGCTTTGGCCCTTTCTCGTGTCCCTGCGTAGCTGTCCGTGACTTCATATTGCTTACTGGTATTCACTTGCTCGGTTATGGCGCTAATCTTAAGCTGTTCGATTTTCAGTCTTATTTCCATTATAGTTCGTGCCGCAATTTCGGTTCCATTCGCAACTGTACGAAACGTGATACGTGTTCGAAATTTGCATTCCACGTACTACATTGGATGACGATCGTTGGTGTCTTTTTTGCCAGAAATCGTGTTGACGTCCGCCAGACACGAAGACTCAATGATCATAATCTTAATGGCCTTAAACACTACATGGCCAATGAGGTGGCAGCATTCGGGTGACTTCTATGGCGTCATGTATGTATGGCTGAACTTGAAATTGTCTGCACGAAATAGTCCGGGCAAGTTCACGGGCGTCAAGCTCAGAAACAATAGAGTTTTAAGTCTTGAAAATGGCATATCTGGGAACCGCGCTGAATATTCTTCAAGATGGCTGTCTCAGTTCAAAACATCATTCAAGCTGCAGCACTCCCGTTAAGCAGTTGTCATTGGCCGCCGTGGCTTGCGGGGCGGCCAATTGTCTGCTGCAGCAGACATTTGTCTGCTGCAGCCGATGCGACCACATTGAAAGATGTGTTGTCAGCAGGCCAACTGAATGAAATGGGCAACTGCATTGGGCATACGTGCTGCAGTGCCAGCGAAAAGCCCTTAGCCTCTCAGCGCGTGGTTTTAAACATCTTTGGTCAGCCGCCGCATGCCGGCCATCACGCCACGCGCTTGCCCGCCACATTTAGTAGTGCGCCACTATTAGTCATATGAACAAACAAGATGCTACCAGCTAATGACTGATTCACATTCCACTAAACAGTTCTCCCACAATGACATTGTGTAAATACGACAACCACCCCATCCCTCAAGGCGCAAGACAATAAGTATTCCTTATTGGCTACCGTAGCTCTGTCAATCCTCGTCCCCAGCAGCATTGAGTGATGCGCTGCAAGTTGGTCAAAGGAATAGAACGGATGCCTTTATCGGACAAGCGGACTGTGACGCCAGATGATAACCCTGCAGCACCGCTGTCGCATGTCCATGGTTACTCTCTTCGCGAGCGATTTGGTTATTCTACCTGGGCCACAGTATCATTACCATCGCGCTACGGAACGGCCATCTGCATTCCATAGTGTCACGTAAGGGGGTCATTTCTGAAAATTCAAAGAAGACATATTCATTCAAAGAAAGTACAGCAGGTATGTTGACCGATGACTTATTTGCAATGCAGGCCGGTAGTGCTCCCACAATGATATCGTGCACACATTATGACTCACGGCGCGCATAACAATAAGTGTTTATAATTGGCTCTCGTAACTTGGTAAATCACCCATGCGAACGGCGCGCCAGCATTGAGTGATGCGCTGGCTGGTGGCCAACGATCGGGGTGAATGTCTTCATCGAACAATCATGGTGCGGCGCCAGCTCTTAGTCCCTCAATAGCGTTATCGATAGCACGGTCGCACTCTCCGCGCATGATCATAAGTATTTTCCGGGACACCATACGCTGGCCAATGCCTATTATGGGACGGACCGGCCGATAGCATTCAGGGATGTTCCGTCAGGGATCATATGAACATAGAAGGTAATACTGACTGATGACCGAGTTACATTGTCCTCGGCTAGTGTCCGCACAATGATATAGTGTGTATGCCGTCGCACCCGCTGCACATGAAAACAAGTAACTGGTCGTCGTAACTTAGCAAATCCCCGCACCCGTCAGTATTGGGTGATGCGCTGGCACACGTCAACCGACAAGCAGGGACGTCTTAACAGAACAATATTGCTGAAGCGCGAACTGATGAACTCGCAAGCAGCGCTCTCGAATGCATGTACATGGTCTCACTCTCCGCCACCCAGCAAAACTGTCTTTCCGAAAAGCACTATAAGCGAGCTTGCGAATACAAGTAAACACCCTTAAACTCACCCATAACTATGCAAGAACACCACGAGAATGGGACAAAACACGAGCACCTAACTATATTTGGTTCAGCATGCATCCAGCAACACTGCGGGCCACCTCTCGGAAGATTGAAGGCCTAAAAGTGAGTGCTTTCATGCCACCTTTCTTCGACGCAATCAAACAAAGATCATTGAGAAGCAGACTTGATAAATAAAGAAGCTGTGTTGTCTAGAACAGCATTTTCCACTTAAAAGCATACGGATAGCTGTAATTCAGATTATTTGATCATCGAGGCCCTCATCGGAGCCCCGACAGATTGCTGAATGTGGCGGCCGCCACATCCGTTAGCTCAGTTTAACTACATTGATTGCCGCGGCCCTGAGTGACAGAAGTGTGCAGAAATCGAGCCATTGGCGCACGGCATTTAGCCAGCAACTTTTTATGCTGTGACTTTTACCTCCGTGGTTTTTATTAGGTATTATTTTGTTGCCGTTACCTTTTCGATGCCCTCAAGCACCGTATGCCCGGCGTCGCGATTTGGCGCTCCACCCTCCACCCCTTCGGGAAGATGCGTGGCGATGGGCCCCACCAATTAGCGCGGCCGCCCATAGTCTATCGCTTTCTACCAGAGTTGCTGGAAGTTCAAGGCGAGCAGCCCCCCGGCTGCAGCTAGCTCGGCTGCTGTGCAGAGGCGGCGCCAGGTCCTGGAACAGCGGGGCGGCCGTGCAGCACATGGAGCGCGTCCATCCAAAACGCCGCACAGCAGCGGAGGAGAAGCGGACGTCTCGGGGTGGACGAGGGAGACGACAGGGAATCCGCGCCGGGCAGCGCGTGCGGCAGCGACGACATCGCATCGACACTGAAGCGGACTGACGCTGCTGCAGTTCGTCATTGAGCCGATTCGACTTTTTGGTACGTCATCTTCTGTATATTTCGCCATGCATTTGGCAGTCAATGTAGAGACATTTACCAAATTAAATTTTGACTTCCATGTCCCAAAAGCAGTTGCTGTGCCTGGTGAAGTAAAAGGTGTTTTTCACCAGAGCACTAGCTGGCCTTGATTTTTTGGTTGTTTTTGGTAACGTGCAGCTGATACTGGACCTGCATATTCCAAACCTTGAAAAATCTTATTTGGGAGTGTTTACTGCTGTTTATGCATACTGGTCCGTGGGTCGTGGTACGCGTTTGGGTAAGGGGGTATGGGCGTGAGCAGGTGCATGCATACGTAGGTGCTACGTGTTTATACCAATAAGACACTTCGCCTGTGCCTTTGTGAGGCTGTGGGCCAAGGATATGCCGTGGTTTGGAGTGCAGAAAGAGAGTGAAGTGAAGTTTGCCGGTACAGTCTGGTGGTGGCCCTGAGGTCCATGTCATCGGGATGTTATTGTCCGCGGAGCATTGCTTTGAGCCTGCCTGGTGTGAAGGTCCTTATGGTTATTTTCACTTTTTGTCATTTGCCAGGTGCTGAGATACCCAGCTGATCATATGATCTCTGTGTTACAGGGTGATCATGCCTTATTAAATGGTCATAATGAATGCTGTGTTGTGTTTGGAACAAGAAATGGTTTGAAATTCATCTAATATCTGGTTGGCGCTGTTGGTTTATATTGTTGAGAACATGCTGAAGCATCTGCTTGGTGAGACATTTTGAGCTTCATGCCACACCTTCAACAATAAGGATGCATGAACTCTTCCGCCAAGTGCTGAATGAAAAGGACTTATCAAGGGTATGTATTGAAGTGTAACTCATCTCATCCTGCTCTCACAGACTGTGTGTGGTTATGCAGCATCACATTTACAATTATCAAAATGGGATCCATGTACTGAGCTTAAGGTTAGGTGTGTAATATTTATCACTTGTGTGCGAGAGCTGTTCTGTCACATGATGCTTGCATTTTTTGTTGATGTCTAAACATTATGATTTGTAAATATGCCAATATTCACTAGTTGTAATAAGAATAACACAAAATTAGTGTTTCTTTATAAATAGAGAGCAGTGTTGCTATGTAATTAAGTTATAGGTGGATTATGTGCTGTTATTATGGCTATGATTGTAATGGTGTCAGTCCTCTTTCCATTGGAGCAAGTAGATTGCAAATTTAGCATACAGCCAATAGCAGATAATGAATACTAGAGCTGACAATAAATTTGAATATCAGGGTGAATACAGGAAGGTGCATGCTTATGATGATGTCTTTGGGCATGGTACTGTTAGAATTAGGTCTGGATATTTCAGTTAAATCAGTGAATGTTTAGATCTAGCTTTTAGCCATGGCAAAGAAGGGCAGAAACAAATGTTGTCAGATGAGCTGTGGTAATAAGGCATAGGGTTACAAACCTGTGCAGTTTTCTGGGTCCAATTTCTCAGTTAAGTCCTGCTCAATTTTCAGGTCATGCTATTTGCACTCAATATTGGTTTCAGAAAAGGTGACATTGACCATTTTTGGGGTTATGAATCCTATGGATAGGGTAAATTTCTGAAATCCTGTAGTGAGTTTTAGGTGGTGCATTCCTCTGCACAGGATGATGGGTGGTATGTCATCACTCCAATCTACTTGGTGTGATCTGGACATGCAACATTATAAACACCCACAAACTGCCAGGTCCTTAGTTTGCTCACAAAAATACTTGACCACCTGTACGCATTGACCCGCACCCTTTTTAGCGGACATGTCCACTTTTCTGATGTTGCTGTGATACTCAGCATTCAAGTCATCAACCCAGACTTCAGCTTTATTTGCACACTGTTGCTGAAAATCTCATGAGCAATGGTTGCAATAATTGGTTTCAAGGATATTGGCTTCAGCGACTTAGCTGAGAAGGTACCAATGGACATGAGCAGGTAGATTTTCTCTAGATCACAAACTGGATACACCCTGGGATCAAAGCTGATCCAAGGGGGCTGGTAGTGTAGTAGTTAACGCATTTGCATTAAACACTGCGCATTTGGGAAACCAGAAGAACTGGGTTTGATTCCCCACTACCTGCCCTTCGTGCCGGGGTGAGAGGCAGGTGACGCCATTTAGCTTCAGCAGCTGTGTGCGTCGTAAAGCCCCAATGACACACACAACTGATCCAAGGTTCCTAACCAAACTGGTTCTGACTGTGGTCTCAGATTAAGTAAAGCATGATTTATACCTGTTTTACTAAAATCTTGTGGACAGTTTGCAAACAATCAAATAATGCTATAAGAAGGCAAGTGATGGAGAAATGGCTGCTCCTGTTCTTCATTATTTATGGGATTTTTTACTCAGAATGGGTGCTTTGGCTCACTGATGGCCTGTGAAAGCCTTCCAATAAATCAGTTGGGAGCTGCAAAGATGTCTGGGTGTCCCAACCTGGCTCTGGGATCCAGAAGTGACATTTCAGAGGTCATACAATCAGTAATTGCGATCAAAGCTCTGGGTATGTGTACACTATGATGGTACAAAACTTTCCAGACCCACAACATTTCATACCATCCTTTGTCAGAGGGTGGATAGTTGAGGAATCAAAACCAAAGTTGTCACTGCCAAGCAACAACAGTTTCAGTGATGTGATGTATTTGAAGTACTGCCATGTTCCAGGCTGGCGAGCTTTTCTCGCTAGATGATGAACAAGTGGTTGGAGACCTCCAGGAGGTGATCAAGAAGATTCTGGAGGTGACCAGCCGACCAGAGTTCTTGAACAGCATAAATGAGCAGAGCGTTGTGGAGATTGCCATTACCAGGGTGACATCAGCTGTCAGGTAAAGCAACACTCGTGAAGCATCCAGACTCGCCACATAAAAAGTGATGCACAGCACTCTTATACATAGAAATGATACATAGCACTCTTTACTTACTGAAGCAAGCAAAAAGTCCAATGGTGGCAGTGCTGGTATCAAGGAACTAGTGAAACTGAGTGAGCGGAAGCCCACCATTGTGTTCAGGGCTCTGATAGCTATCAAAATGCTCCATTCAGTGCACTAATGCATCACCAGTGTCATAGATGCTTTCAAAGTAGTACTGTATGATCCTTAAGAGTTGTCGTGCTATTGTGGATGGCTCATGGTGTCTTTTGCTTCAACAATTCTCCAGTGATGATGCATGACACCACAAACCGGTGTCATGTGATCAGTGATCATAGTGATAAGTGATCACTATACATAGTCAAATCTTGTTATGTAGCATTTCTGGTGATACAGTTGTCAACAGCCTCTGAAGCCTGCTCCCTTACAAACTTGAGCGAATGTATCAGCAGGATAGGGCGCGACGAACAATTCACCGACATTGCACCAATCACTGTTTTGACCCGATCAGAACGCCGTCTGAACGAATGTGGTGAAACCAATTCTACGACAAATGTGTTGAAATTCTGGATGTTGTACATGCCTCCAATTTGTTCGTTTAGACCGTCCGATAACCAGATACGGACGGTCACGCCGTCCGTACAGCGGCCCCCAGCTCTGTCGGGACCCGCCGTCGAACAACGCCTGCCGGACCAGTGCGCTGGCCGCGGGCGTTCGGTGCTGGACGCCGCCGGTCCCACGCCTGCCGGACCAGTGCGCTGGCCGCGGGCGTTCGGTGCCGGACGCCGCAGGCCCCACGCCGGTGTGCCATGCTCCGGCAGGGACACGCAGACTATCGAGGGCCACGCGGCGCCGCTCGTGCAGCTGCTGGAATCGTGTCTGCAGCACGACCTTAAGCCGTCGGACCGCGACGAGGACCCGCCGCATGCCAAGATGGCGTCCGACGTGCTGGCCTGCCTCTTCCTGGTGAGGCGACCACCTCCGTCCGAGCCGTGCAGCGCAGTTTTTGTCGCGTTTCAGATCTTTCGTTGTGAAATGTTATCATTGACCAAGTTAAGTGCGCTGGCTGAGTCCTGCTGGTTAGAACCATTGTCTCAGAAATGTAACTGCTTCTGCATTTATTTTCTGGTTGCAGAGCCTTTCTATTTTGTGCGAACTTTGCCGCATGTATGAAAGCATATGTGACAGTGCGATCAGTAGGCTCGTCTCACCACAGGAATATATTTCTCGGACGTTTGGTATCATTTCTTCTAATACATATGGTATATGGCGTTTCATAACATGTCGCATGTGGGTATTTATACAGAACAAATTGCGTCGGCTTGAAGTGTCTTAATATCCCACTTTTTGAATACTATGATATCACATATATCATAACCATTTCATTTTGTCAGCTGGCGGCCGGGTTGGCGGTCGCCCTGCGTATACTGCTTTTGCTCGGATGTTTTTTTAATACATTTGTCCCGAATGGTTTGCATGGGTGACTTTGGGTTCAGAGTACCTACTAAGCATAGCTTGTCACATGTACCCTGAACCCACCACCCAAGTCGTACCGTCCACTGCAACGAATAATTTTGCATCCGCCCTTTTGCCGGACAGGAATGCGGAGGTTTTTACGTGCCGCAGCACTTCCTACGAAATTCCCGGAGAACATGGGGGCCTTGATGTTCTTGTGAATCTGTCGATGTTTCTGTTTGTTTTTGTGTGGGTAAATATCGGGCTCATTTTAAGCGTTTGGATTTGGGACGATTGACAACATGCGCTGTGAGTGGTGCTGAGGACGCCAGCTGCAGCCCCATGTTCGCCCGCCCCGTCTCCACCGCTCCCGCTGACCTGTCTCCACCGCTCATGCTGACCCGTCTCCATCGCTCCCGCTGACCCGTCTCCATCTTTCCTCTGACCGGTTTCCGCCGCTCCCGTTGGCCGGTTCTCGCTGCTCCCGCTGACCCGCCTCCACCGCTCCCGCTGACCCGCCTCCACCGCTCCACCTGACCCGCCTCCACCGCTCCCGCTGACCCGCGTCCGCCGCTCCCGCTGACCGGTTTCCACCGCTCTCGCTGACTGGTCTCCACCGCTCCCGCTGATCCGCCTCCGCCGCTCCCGCTGACCCGTCTCCGCCGCTCCCGCTGACCCGCCTCCACCGCTCCCGCTGGCCCGTCTCCACCGCTCCCGCTGGCCCGTCTCCACCGCTCCCTCTGACCCGCCTCCGCCGCTCCCGCTGCCCCGCGCCCGCCGCTCCCGCTGACTGGTCTCCACCGCTCCCGCTGACCCGTCTCCACCGCTCCCGCTGACCCGTCTCCGCCGTTCGTCAGAACTACGGCCGGCCGAGCGTGATGCAGCTGGCCATGCCGGTGGCCGTGCGGTTCCTGGTGAAAGGCAGCCGCGAGCTCAGCCGCAACCTGGCCGCCTACCTGTCACTGGTGGCCATCGAGAACGCCCAGCTGATCGCCGACCACGCCGCCAGCATCATGGACAGCATCGCCGCAGGTGCGCCCCGGCCCGCTCAGAGGCCTTACGCCACGCCGGGCTGGTCAGTGTGGGTGGAATGCCTGTTGAGCGCTCCAGGCGCCACTGCGCTCGGTGGCTCTTAGATGGTGGTTGTTTGGCCTAGACTGGCGGACTGTGAGCCCCAGTCGCAGCTGGGGGTCGGTCGAGAGCCACTCGAGTGTTCTCGAGAGCCACTCGAGTGGTCGAGTGTTCGCACGTTTTGACAGCAGGTGCCCCCCCCCCCCCCCCGCTGCAGGCAACTACCAGCTGACGCAAGTGCTGCCGCCCATCTACCGTCTGCAGCCGGACCGGTTCGCGCGGCACATGACCACGCTCGTGACGGTGATGCCGCTCTGCCTGGGCCAGGAGCGGCTCGCGCTCATCGACCTCTTCCAGCTGATGGCCAAGCAGCAGCCGCAGGTGGGTCGTGCTCCAGCGCGCTCTCGCGGACCGACTGCCGCTCTGGTGTCCAGCCAGGGGCGGTCTGAGGGCCGGACAACGCCGCCGGTGAAAGGTGGAGCCGTCTGTCGTCCGCAGCTCGGTGAACCGGGCACAATGTGGCGGTGTTCGTGAGGATGGCAGATTGGCCTCGCCTGCCGGGACTGCTGTACTATCTCGGGTGAACTGGAGCGCTCTAGTGTGCATCCAGCGCTGATGGCAGGCTGCACAGCCTGGCAGACATTAAGTCTGATGCCAAAGCAGCAACATTTCGACTGTGCACAATCTTTCAGGCTGCGGTAGTGGAACAGCCACGGCGCTCTTATGACGTGCATTGGTGCTGATGGCCAAAATCCGTTCAGCTCCGACGCTGCTACTGCTGTGCGCTCTGACAGCTCGGACGCTGGTGCTGCTGTGTACTCTGACAGCTCGGACGCTGGTGCTGCTGTGTACTCTGACACTGCTCCGCTGTGCGGTAGCTGCTGGTGCCGGCCGTGCCCCAGCTGTGTGACTACCTCTGCTCGCCGCCGCTGGGCGCCGCCACCGCCCAGGTGCTGACCACCATGACCATGGCCGCGCCGCTCGCCATGTCCGAGCACGTCAACAAGCTGAAGCTGACGGTGGACCACCAGCCGGCCACGCTGCCGCACGTGCTGCCCGTCCTGGTGGCGTTCGGCCAGCGCACGTCCCGGGTAAGCGGGCGGCTGGGACCGAGAGTCCCGTTTTGGCTGGCGACGCGAGCTGGCTCCGCCGCTCCGGAAGCTCCCATCAAGGTGTCGGCGCCGTTCATTTCATTGGTTTCCGCGTGTGGCGACGGCGAGACGATGCCGGTGACGACAAATGATGCAGTCACTTGGAGCCGTACGCCGCAGACTCTGTTCCTGTCGGCCAGTTTCTCGTAAACGCAACGCCTGTCCCAGAGCGCGGTGGTGTTTGGCGTGTGCGTGCCGCCGGCCGGCGAGGCTCTGATCGTGCCGGTGCCGGGGCGCGGTGGTGCTTGGCGTGTGCGCGCCGCCGGCGGCGAGGCTCTGATCGCGCCGGTGCCGGGGCGCGGCGGTGTTTGGCGTGCGCGCCGCCGGCCGGCGAGGCTCTGACCGTGCCGGTGCCGGGGCGCGGCGGTGTTTGGCGTGTGTGCGCCGTGGCCGGCGGGGCTCTGACCGTGCCGGTGTCGGGGCGCGGCGGTGTTTGGCGTGTGTGCGCCGTGGCCGGCGGGGCTCTGACCGTGCCGGTGCCGGGGCGCGGCGGTGTTTGGCGTGTGTGCGCCGTGGCCGGCGGGGCTCTGACCGTGCCGGTGTCGGGGCGCGGCGGTGTTTGGCGTGTGTGCGCCGTGGCCGGCGAGGCTCTGACCGTGCCGGTGCCGGGGCGCGGCGGTGTTTGGCGTGTGTGCGCCGCGGCCGGCGGGGCTCTGACCGTGCCGGTGTCGGGGCGCGGCGGTGTTTGGCGTGTGCGCGCCGCCGGCCGGCGGAGCCCACGGCGGGGCTCTGACCGTGCCGATGCCGGAGCGCGGCGATGTTTGGCGTGTGCGCGCCGCCGGCCGGCGAGGCCCTGATCGTGCCGGTGCCGGCAGCCGGTGGCGCGGGACCTGCTGCTGTTCCTGCTGACTCGGGCCGGCGCCGCCGACGGCCTGACCGTGCACACGCTGAGCCAGGAAGTGCGCCAGCTGGTGGCCTGCCACCCGACCCTGCTGCCGCCGGCGCTGCTGCGCGACATGGAGCAGCAGCCGGACCTGGCGGCCGCCGTCCAGAAGCCGCGCCTCTACCTCAGCACCGAGGAGACGTCACGGTGAGCCTGCTGTTCGAGTCGAAAAGGCTTGACGAACCTGCTGTACCACCAGTTACGTCCCGGTGCATAGTTGTAAACATCTGAGTGACAAGCTATAATTGGGAGGCGCATTTCTGGGGTCTGCCCACGGCATGTTCAGTGAAGTATTCGCTTCCGAAACATAGTGAACGTCTGAGTGACAAGCTATAATTGGGAGTCTCATTTCTGGGGTATGCCCACGGCATGTTCAGTGAAGTATTCGCTTCCGAAACATAATAAACATCTGGATGACAAGCTATAATTGGGAGGCGCATTTCTGGGGTCTGCCCACGGCATGTTCAGAGAAGTATTCGCTTGCGAAACATAGTGAACGTCTGAGTGACAAGCTGTAATTGGGAGATGCATTTCTGTGGTCTGCCCTCGGCATGTTCAGAGAAGTATTTGCTTCCGAAACACAGTTGTGAACATCTGAGTGACAAGCTATAATTGGGAGGCGCATTTCTGGGGTCTGCCCTCGGCATTTTCAGAGAAGGATTCGCTCCCGAAACATAAAAGTGTTGATGAGCGCCTTCCGGTACCGTTCATTACATATCGCCCCCCCCCTCTCCCCCCCCCCCCCTGTTATATTTTCCAAAGTCTCAAGAGGGCTGAGGCGAACGCCCTGGACGTACTTGGTGCCAAAACAGCTGGACGGGAGTAGGGTTAAGGAAACTCGAAAGGGCTAGTCGTGTTTCAGCTGCCTGTGACGGCTTTGCTGTTGGTCTGCAGCGCGTTGACTGGGTGGCTCCGTCCGGTCGTTTGCAGGCGTCTGTCGGAGGACAACTGCGTGACGATCGTCAAGGTGGGCTCTGGCGGCAGCCGGGAGCTGTGGTCCACCTCTTCGCGGGACCTGCTGTCGTCGAGGGACCACCTGCGCGGCAAGCTGGCCGACTCCAGCCGGTCGACGCCGCGGCTGAACCAGAGCCGACCCAGTGAGACGCGGACGGCCGGGCGGGGCCGCGCTCGGGTCCCGCCGGCACCCGCACACTGACGCTCTCACTGCGGCCCTGTGGCAGCGCTGTTAAGCTCTCTGCCCCGGCGGCGTCGCGCCTTTGTGTTTCTGGTCCATCGTTTTCATCGTTGGATCGCTACCATGGCTACCTCTCGTCTGACGATACCTTTAGTGCGTCTCGCGCAGCGGGATCCAGTCCACGTCATGTCACTTGTCACTAGCCCCCCCCCCCCCAGGGCTTATAGCTCCTCCCGCGCAGACACGCGTGTGCGTGCATCAGCTCCGTCTGCCTGTGCGTTCCAGTCGCGAGCGCAACGTCCACGTCGCTGATCGGGCTGAAGGCGCCGCTGCACAAGTCCATGACCCAGGTGAACCACTCGTCTCAGCTCATCACCCGGTGAGTGGCCGACGGCCGGATGCTGGTCCGGCCCGACCGCCGGCGCCCCGGCCGCCGCTGCCGCCGGCGGCGGGACAGGACACGACCGGCGCGCTGGACAAGCCGCCATGACGGGCGGTGCCTCACGCGGACACCAGGCTTTTGGCAGCGCGCCCGGACCATTATGCCAGCCTTTGCGGCCTGAAGTTTGAATTTATATTTTTGTTTAATTTTGAATTGAAAGCTGAAGTTTGAAACTTGAATTTGAATTTATGTCAAACAGTTTTCATCGCTGTGAAACTGTCCGCCCTATGCGTTACTAGCAATGGGATGCTCCACTTTTTGGCGTGCGCTGTGTGTGGGATGGGCCGTAGCCTGCTGGGAGCGGTGCCAGCCAGATGCACCACCGGTCCCCACGCTGACCGGGCGCGCCGGGCGCGGCAGGTTTCCGGGTGGCTCGCGCGGCCAGCTGCCGGCCTCTCAGCGGGCGCTGACCAGCCTGACGGTGACGCTGGGGGCGGGGGCCGAGGCTGGGGGCCAGCAGTCGGTCAGGTGAGGCGGCACGTCTCGGTGCTCTGTATGATCGGCCCGTCCCCTCTCTCTCTGTCTGTCGCTCGCTCGGCTCTTTATAGCATCCCGGCCGCCCTCCGTTCGATCTCGTTTGGTTTGCCCGTCGCTGGCTGTGGCCGGCCTCTGGTTTGCAGCGCCGGCGCCGGCGCGCGCGCGTGTGTCTGTGTGAGTCTGCCGTTTGGTTTGCGCCGCCGCCGCCGCCGCCGCCGCATGCCGCGTGCCGCGTGCTAAGCGTCGCTGTGCTGCACGCGTAGCGCCAGCGCCGGCACGCTGTCGGACGAGCCGCCCGCCGCGGCGGCCGCCTCCGCCGGCACCGGCTCCTCGCGGCAGCTATCGGCCGCCGGCCCGGCCCGCAGCCGCCCCCCAGGTGAGCCGCCGCCCCCGCCGTCGGCCGGGCCGGCTAGCGCTGCCGCCCGGCTCCGTTTGCCACTCACGGCCAAAGACGTGGTGCAGTTGGCAGCCCGCGACTGCGATAATGCATTGGGCGTGGAATGATTGGTGGCGCGCATGGCTTGCATAAAGTTTTCTGTTTTGTTTTTTGTTTTTTATGGCACTGTTGACGCTGGAAGTAGTATGCTGTACGCCATGGTTGTTGGATGGCCCGGTAGCTAATCAGATATAGCTGCATAGTCACCCGCTGTCATGTTGTGGTCGGTGACGACCGTTCGTGTTGCTGTGTTGAACTTGCACATTCAAAACATGAGGTGGTGTGCGGCACGACTCTGGTGCCCGGAGTAACGGGGTGTCCGCGACGGGCCTCCGACGCAGTGCAGTCGCCCTGTCGGTCTCCGAGGTGACAGCGTGTCCTGCGCTCTCCCCCGGCGCAGCGGTGTCGCCGACGCCGCCCGCGCGCGCCGTGGGGACGCTCCACTGCGCACGTGCCGAGCCGCCCGCCGCGTTTCAGCGCCGGCGGCCGCGGCGGTCACGTCGGCCGGCGCGCCGACCCCGCAGCCGGGTCCGGCGCCGACGCCGGCGCCGGCGCCGGCGCCAGCAGCGGCCTCGTCCACGGCGCCGTCCACGCCGGTGCAGCGGCGCAACACCACCGTCACGCTGATCAGCGCCGGCGGGCAGCAGGCGTCGGCGCCGTCCGCCACGCAGGTGCGCACGCGGCGCCGCCTCCGGCGCTGTCGCTGGGGCGGCGTGCTGTCCTGTTTTAATCGGAGGCGCCGCGCACTGCCCCACCCGGCGTGACCCCGAGGGGTGCTGCGTACCGCTCTGGCCGAATCACTAGTGCTGCGCGCTGCATTGTTCACTCAGCCATGCAATACTGTTGGGGACGTTCTTTATGGCGCAACTGCACCGTGTGAGTTGTGCGTTACGCACTGCGCCCAAGCTTCGGATACTGTATGATGGCGGTCTGCAGAGGAGTTGTCAAAATAGCAAAAGTCGTTGTGGAGCACCTTAATATCTCATTGGTTGTGTCCAAGCTGCGGTTGCCAGCTCGCAGACGAACCGCATATGAGGCCGAGCTGTATATTTGTTATGCGGACGGCTCACACTGTACCGGGAGTCATATATGCCCGCAGACCTGCCACAGATGTGCACGTGCGCTGGCGGGATGTGCGAGTGGTCCGTACTGACGGCCGTGTTGTTCTGTATGCAGCGCATCAGTGTGTTTGAGCCGTACCAGATGCGGGACACGATGCAGCACTTCTGCGAGAAGCACCTGGACAAGATCAAGGAGTTCATGCAGAAGGTGTCGGTGCGCCTGCCGCTGCCGGGCAGGTGCACCATTGAAGGTCAGCACCGCGGCGGCCCGGCCTGTCCGGTCCGGTCCGGTCCGGTCCGGTCCGGTCCGGTCCGGTCCGGTCCGGTCCGGTCAGAAGCTAAGTGTTCGAGACGCAGAGCTCTGAACGTACATCCGCGAGTAATTTGGTAATCAAAGGTACTTGGCAAGTAAGAATTGGTCGTACGGAGAGCGACTACACGTTCTAACGGGTCGAAACGTTGTGAGGTCACGGATCTGTGTGAGGTCACATACGAAGAGGATCCGGTTTTGGGAAGCATGGGAACTTGTATCCCGAAGTGTGCTCGCGATGTGTCAGAAATTCGCATGCAGAGCTCCACAGCACTTGTCTAGGAGTGGACCGTGTTACGAAACGTGCTGTATTAGTTTGTGTGGCTCCTTTTCAGAGCGTAAAAGCCGAAAGCAAGCCAAGTTGCACTTTATGTGCCAGATTCACGGTGAATATTGTCTATACAACAAGTCTTTTTACCCAATGAAGACAAAAAACCCTCGCACCTGGATTCACCTGATGTTCCTGACGCTCCAGGTAAAGATGCCAGGCTTGTGCTTTCGTCAAACCCCGTGCCACATGTGTTTGCGTGGATAGTATTTAGAGCTTTGTGTGGATGCTGTTGGATTTAAAACCGTACCTTTACGAACCCTGGCATGATTGTTGTTGAACAAGTATGATAAATCCGGAACGAAATCGATGCTTTTCTTCTTGGACCGCAATGCGAGTGCAGCACTTCACGTTGGGCGAGGGAGGGAGGGGGGGGGGGGGGGGGGAGCGTAGGACCGTCTCGGGCGTAGTCCACATACAGGTCGTCGTATGCCTCCCATTGGAAGGCACGGCACACCATGGAAACGATGGCGCTTACCACAGAATTTTGAGTTGTATTTTGATTTTTAATTTTTTTATTCATTTGTTTTTTATTCAATTTGAGTAAATCGAGTATTCCCGAAAGCGACAGCACGGGCTGTTTGCCGCCGAGAGTAAGCCGACAGCAGTGACGGGCATGACCGTGACGCGGCTGGTGGTCGGCTGTGTGGGTGTGACCCCGACCCGGTCCGTGCCGCGCAGGCACGCGCCTCGTCGGCGCTGAGCAGCCGCGATCCGGGGCCGAACAGTCTGAAGAACTGCTGGGACACGCTGCGCTGGGAGTCGACCTCGTTCCTGGAGGTGGTCACCGGCTGCTTCCCGACGGCCAAGGTCAGTCGGCGCCGGCGGCGACTCCGGCGGGCCCCGCCGACTGCCGGCCGCACCGGCGACGAGCAGGGCAGGTCATCACCACGCTACCCACCACCTCATCACGTCACCGACGTACTACCTCACTGCTTCACTGCCTTACCACCTCACAACCTCACCACTACTCACCACCTTGCCATCTTGCCGCCTGACCACATCACCACCTCACCGCCTCTCTGCCTCGCCGCCTCACCGCCCCACTATCTCACCTCATCACCTCACCACCTCACCACCGCTCACCACCTTACCACCTTGCCGCCTCACCACATCACCACCTCACCACCTGTCTGACTCACCACCTCCCTGCCCCACCGCCGCACCGCCTCACTGCCCCACTATCTCACCTCACCACCTCACTGCCTCACCATGCATCACCACCTCGCCACACCTCACTACCTCACCACATCACCACGTCGTCGCACCTCACCACCTTGGCAGGCGCTCACACCGACCGCTGGCAGTCGCGGCTCAGACACTTGGCTATCCAATGTGCCGACCTAGCCGCGCAGGTGCCTACAGCTCCCCTTGCAGATCTGGGGGGCCCGCGTGTGTTCGAACCGCGGGTCTCTGATCGCCGGCGTGCAGTCGTGGCCGGCGTAAACGGCATTGTTGCCGTGCGATGCGCCGCGCGGTGCGTCGGCAGGCTACGCGTTGATGTGAATTGGCGATGGTCGGGAGGTGAAAGTAGCCCTATTCGAAATGTTGAAATATGCTCTCCCAACTGGTCCAGGCGGGCTACTTTAGGTCAAACCCATAGAAGGTGGGCACTGAAAGCCTGCTCACTTGGTTCGTAGACACCTTGGGTCTTAATTAGCCTCTTTAAGTTGTTTTTACGCGTAAAGGTGTGAAAGATAGAACTTCTCTTTAGATGATAAAAAATCCGGATTTCACATTGGTCAGCTCTGTAAGCGACGCTGGATCGAAGGCAGCTCTGTTTATATTTCATTAACTTTGTTATATGTGAAATCGGCGGTACCACATCTGTGAACAGCCGGAAAGTAGACAATGAAAGCCAAGCACGGGAGAGACCTAGCTCAGGTGTTCTGCTTTTTTACTCCGGAGAGCTCAGGCTGTCAGCTTTGTATTTACCCCCGATCCCTGAAAGTTGTATCCCCAAATACACGCGCAATCACGCTGCAAATGCCTCTCTTTTGCTGCATTTCGACTAGTTAGCGTGACTGGTTTCGTGTCCACATTACTTGGTAAGCACAATTTGCCGCGTGTTTCCTGAATCCAGCGGCCAAGTTATGCCGACCAGCGGAACGAACAGTTTTGCCTCCGCTTTTGTCTACGCAGGACTGCAGAACGTTTTGCGTGTCACACAATGTTACGGCGGGGCAGCCCCGGGCCTGGGTTGACCCGCGTTGGCCGGTCGCTAGATGACCTTGCCATGTCAGCTGCTCCAAATATTGCGCCCGCTCTGGGACTCTCTTCGGCGCTTTATAAGTTCGTTGACGATCGACTGAGATCACAATGAATGACGGCACTCAAGCTTTGGCACATGAACACGTGACCCGTCCAAGGCCACTGACCTGTAGCGACATTGGCTCCCGCAATGATGCGTCGACGACGTGTGTAGACGCCTCGGTGTCGGGTGGTGCGCGTTTGCGCCCCGGCGGCCGGACGCGCTCGGCCGACTGCGGACTGCAGACTGCAGACTGCAGACTGTAGACTGGTGCTGGCACCACTGCCGACCTGCAGTCTGTCAGGGCTCCCGATGCTAGTAGTCACACCCGACCCGTGTTGACCTGTCCTGACCTCTACTTGGTCGTGTTTTCTCACTCGCACCGAGACCTGACCTGTGGGCTGTGGCGGCAGGAGACGGACGTGCTGCTGCAGGAGCTGCGCAGCGCCCGCTTCTTCGACGTGTTCGAGTACAACGGCATGCAACAGCAGTGGGGCTGCTTCCTCTGCAACCACCCAGAGAAGGCCGAGGGCTTCGTCAAGGTAGGCGGCGTGCGAGGGGATCTGTACTCCACCGACCGGCTCGGGAAACCGTATCCAGCGGCTCATTCACCACGTCACACCTGGTGGGCAGCTGTTTTACGTGTACATGTTCATAGGCCAACCGTGTAGAATTCATTAAGCCTTTTGGATGTGTTGTCAACAGGATCGGTCTGTAAGGTTATTTTAAATAGTTCGAAAATTGCCTCTCCCAGATTTCATACAAATTCATGCAAAGACCTTAACGCGAATTGGCTCCACTGCTCCGAAGCTCTTCAGCCGAGTGTTGAGGTCTGGGCGCCGCACGGCCGGAGGTGGCCTGGCGGGAGCACGGGAGCGGGCCCGCACATCAGTGCGCTCCAGTCCGCTCCGGTCAGGTGTGCTGCTGTGGTCGGTGCATGACCCGACCCGACCCGACCTGATTTGACCTGGCCGATGCGCCGCACCGCAGCCCGACCAGCCGGTGATGGAGGGGCAGCTGAAGGAGAAGAAAGGCCGCTGGAAGATCTTCCAGCGGTGGAGGACGCGCTACTTCACCTTGTCGGGCGCCCACCTCAGCTACCGCTGCGTAAGGCGCGCGGCGTGTGGTCGGCAGACAGCTGACCACTCGGTGTCACGTGTGCTGCGATGTATAGCTGGCAGTCGGAGTCTGGGACGTGACGGGCGGCCGTTACAGTGAGCGCCGCGCTGGCCTTCCTGCTGTTGTTCCTGGCCCAGTCCTCCCATGCCTTCGTCAGCCCAGCTGTCCTCCCATGCCCCGTCAGCCCAGCCGTCGTCCCATGCCTTCCATCAGCCCAGGCATCCTCCCATGCCTCCCATCAGCCCAGCCGTCGGCCATGCCTCCCACCAGCCCAGCCGTCGTGCCATGCCTCCCACCAGCCCAGCCGTCGTGCTCATGCCTCCCACCAGCCCAGCCGTCGTCCCATGCCTCCCACAGCCCAGCCGTCGTGCCCATGCCTCCCATCAGCCCAGCCGTCCGGGCATGCCTCCCACCAGCCCAGCCGTCGTGCCATGCCTCCCACCCGCCCAGCCGTCGCCCATGCCTCCCACCAGCCCAGCCGTCGTACCATGCCTCCCCCAGCCCAGCCGTCGTGCCATGCCTCCCACCAGCCCAGCCGTCGTGCCATGCCTCCCACCAGCCCGCGTCGTCCCATGCCTCCCATCACCCAGCCGTCGTGCCATGCCTCCCACCAGCCCAGCCGTCGTGCCATGCCTCCCACCAGCCCAGCCGGTCGTGCCATGCCTCCCACCAGCCCACCGTCGTGCCATGCCTCCCACCAGCCCAGCCGTCGCCCCATGCCTCCCACCAGCCCAGCCGTCGTACCATGCCTCCCACCAGCCCAGCCGTCGTGCCATGCCTCCCACCAGCCCAGCCGTCGTGCCATGCCCTCCCACCAGCCCAGCCGTCGTGCCATGCCTCCCACCAGCCCAGCCGTCGTGCCATGCCCCCGTCATCTGCAGCGGCATGACGGCCAGCGGGACTGACGGCCCCGTTCGGTTGCAGTCCGAGCAGCCGCGGCTGGACAACCACGAGATCGGCGTCCACGAGATCCGATCGGTCAAGGTCAGCCGCAGCGGCCGCAACATCCCCAAGGCGTTCGAGATTTTCACGCACGACCGCACCTACGTCCTCAAGGCCAAGGTGGGCGCAGCGCCTGTCGAGCTGTTCTCGCAGGGGTGTGGACTGTGGGGTGTAAGCGCGTCAGCAGGGTTTGTGGTCGAGCTAGTCCAGTGGAGCGACGGTACCAGCTGGCTGCGGTCTGTGTTGTGCCGTCCTGACCTGTGTGTTTGATTACTGGGGATGTTCGAGTTGGGTTAGGTCGGGCGGCGGCGCGCGCACCATGCGCCCTCATATGCGTCTGGTGTGCGGCTGGCAGGATGGCAAGAAGACCGAAGAGTGGGTGCGCTGCCTGTCGGTGGCCGTGGCGCACCAGCACAGCCGGCCGCGCGCCGACACCATCAGCCTGGGCGTCAACTCGGTGGCCAACCTGCACAGCATGCCGCAGCTGGCTACGCTCTGAGCGGGCAGACGCCCGGCCTGCCCGCGCGCCACGTGTGCGGTCCGCCGGCGGGAGAGCGGGGTCGCGGCCGAGCCGGAGCCGTGGCCGGCGGGAGCAGGGGCTGCCGGCGGGCAGAGCAGGGTCGCGTCCGAGCCGGAGCCATGGCCGGCGGGAGCAGGGGCTGCTGGCGGGCAGAGCGGGGTCGCGACCGAGCCGGAGCCGTGGCCGGCGGGAGCAGGGGCTGCCGGCGGGCAGAGCAAGATGGCGGCCGAGCCGGAGCCGTGGCCGGCGGGAGCAAGGGCCGCAGCGACCCAGCCGGGGCGCGTCCCGCCGCCGGCCGCTGGGGCAGTGCGTGCGGCGCTGCGCCGCTCTTCTGCCGTATTGACGCGATGCGAGGAGACGTCGCCAACCGATCCGCCCATGCCGAACCGCGCTGTGAGGTGTTAGCTAGCGATGACTGGTGTCGGACGTGAGGGTACAAATCACTGGGGGCATCGGGGCCGTCGTGCGCGTTGCCTGCCATCAGGCAGCTTGTTGTGCTTTGATTCGTCGACATTCCTCTTGGTCTATTCGGGAAGCGTCTAGATATTACTTAATACTGCGCTGATGAGATTCCATATGTCCTAGCCAAGCTAACAGCCGAAGCTAGTGTGCTTTAAGCCGTTTGAAAGGCTGAGCGGTTTTTGGTACGATTCTTACTGGATGTATACATAATAGCACGCGCGTGGGCTTGGGCGCTTGCCTCGCCGCTTCGTTGTTGGTTAAGAAATCGTGCTGGGCCATGTTCGCTTGATGTGTGGAGCCGACTGTCGTGTGCTTTGCTCAAGCTCTGTGACAAGTCCGCACCGACAGCGGGCGGACTGTTCGCCTGCGCCGGTCTCGTGAGCCGCGGCCCCGGGGGGGGGGGGCCGTCCCTAGGACAGGGCCGCAACCCCAGGGGTGGTCCTTCCTGAAGAGGCCATGTGACCCCAGAGGTGGTCCCTTCCGTCCGGACAGGTCCATGACCCCTCGGGGCAGTTTCTCCCGTCCGGACATGTTACGACACGAGGCATCCGTTGTCTTTCAAGCGTCGCTGCTCGGCTGACCTGGGCCGGGAGGCTGCCCAGGCGAGGTCCACAATCCCCGCGTTTGGTGTCGCCGTTTTTACGTACTTGAATTTATATTTATACGTATTTATCTGCGGTGTTGCGGAGCGCAGATCAGGCCGGTGCGGATACACCCGACAAATTCGGAATGTGATCTTGCGGTTCTTCCATTTGTTGTGACAGCGAGCGGATGGTGAAACGTGTTCCTGTCAACTGTGGCTTTCAACGGGTGCGATTTCGATGAATAACGCTAGTTTTTTAATGCCTGACGTGGGAGACCCGACATCAGCTGTTATGTTCTGCAGTGCCAGAGGTGCCTGCCTCAATAAAGCATAACACGGACGTGTGTATTGCTGCCTGATTTGGGGATCAGGTTACGCTTGGGGGTGTTTGTCTACATCATACAGCCTTGGATGAAGGCCAGAAATGTGCCGGTAGCTGCCTGTGTTGCCCTGAGTGAGGGTGCGGTATGGACTCTTAACATGCATCTCTCGTCGAAATGCTTGACTAACTAATACGAGGGATACAAAACGAGCTAGTTGAACCATCGGCATGATGAACCACAACCATGATGGGGAGTTGACGCCAGGAGCGTCTTTACAATCTGGTAAAGACGTAGAACGAACAGTTATGTGGAACGAGACACAGCTTCGTCCCGGAGGACCCGGCGGTCCTCGGAGAGACGGCAGCAGGCACTGGTAACAGTTACCGAGTCAGCAGCGGCGGTCCTGAGGCGGTTCGTCCATCAGTGGAGGAAGGCACTTGGCGACGACATGTAAGGCGGACATGGTGCGCATGACAATACAATGCATAGTTATTAACCGACATACGCGCTCTCAAAATAAAATGGAGAGGCCGGATCGACCGAAGAAAAAAAACATTGTAATTTTGGACGGCGATACCGAAGGCCGGTACTTAGCGTCCTAAGTAGATTGGAACTAAACACTTTTTGAGCCAATTTCTAGCGAGACCCATTTTTGAATTGAATGCCGCTTGAATCTTGATGCGTTTGAGTGAGGCCACGTTTGAGACCGCGTCTCCACCGATTCTATGCATGTGACCGCGAGTCTCGGGGGCAGCCGTTCTACAGGAGCGGCGCCACATGACACAGCGGGTCACCGACCGCTTGCTGAAGCTCTAGTTGTTGCACGGCCCGACAGAGGGCCACCAGCTGGAGCAGCCGGTGCAGGCGGAGCCGCGGCCGGGGGCAGCCCGCGCCGCGCAGGTGCGCCACCAGCAGCTCCCGCAGGTGGCACTGGATCGGCGCCACCAGCTGGCCGTGGGACAGCAGCGGGGCCAGGCCTGCACGCCCGCGACACACGGCGCCAGGAGGCGGTCAGCACCCGAACTACCAGATTAATCGCACAGCTCTGAACACGTCTGACACCCTGCGACAAGCCTAGCTCAATGGTTCAATGCAAGATGCCATTCCGCCGCGCATTATCGTCTGTTACGCCAACATTGGGACATAGAAACACGCATTGACATGGGGCGAATCCGGGCTGAGGTACCGATATCCTTAACTACATCCTCTTCATCTTCTTACTGTAAAATTATCTGCCAAGCTCACGGTTCTGCTAGAGACGGAACTTGTTCAAAATAAGTGGTGGCACATTGGGACCAACGTCGACCCTCCCTGCACAACGCTTAAGAGTGCAACGCTGAGGCCAAAAGGCATTGCGGTGGATCAAACCCTCCCATGCAAGCTGCGCATAGGCGCCATCTGACTGCTGTTGGTCACCACCCGTGACGCGGCTGACCTGGGTCGAACACGATGATGAGCTCCAGGAGGCGCACCTCCACCGGGTCGGGCCGCAGCTGGCGCACGGCGGCCGCCAGCTGTTCCAGCCGCCGGTCGCAGCCGCTGCCGTCCCAGGCGGCCGCCAGGCGCAGCAGCAGCAGCAGCCGGGCACAGCCGGCCAACAGCAGGCGCTGGTCGTCGGCCGGGAACAGCGCCAGGTGTGCCAACGTGTCCGGTGGCGGCGGCGGCAGCGGCGGCGGGGCGACGCTCGGTCGGTCGGAGGGCGTCGCCGGTGGCAGACGGCGTCGAGGACGGGGCCTGCGCGGGCCGCGCTCCTCCTGAACAGCTGCAGCGGGGCGGTTCAGAGGTCACGGCCGGTCACGCTCACACCGGGCCGGCTGGGGTACCCCTCCCTCTACAGAGCTGTGGCCAGCGGCGGGTCAGTCAGGCCACACGCCTGGTGAACGCCCCAATGCTCAATGCCACGATTGGCAATGCCACCCACTTGGCTGCGACCTCGGCTCTACACAGGTTAACGTCACGTCTTCTGCCTGCCAGGTCTCCAAGTGGGTGCAAAAAGGTCCGTCAACAACATTCTATCATGGAATCCCGCGGTTGCGATAATCCTGAGACGCGCCCATCAATGACAACGCTCTTAAACATTGGAGACCCGCCACATAACGCCAAGGAGACACGATTCACAACACGCGCACTTGTATGAGCACACCGCGCAATAATTAATACATAGTTCATGAACGGTACGCCCCTAATTTCTGACGGGGCACTGCGGTATACCTGTTGGGTTCATGTTGACGGAGAGACACTTGCCGAAGCGACAGGCGGGGCACCAGTTGCGCCGTGACCGGTCCACGAGACAGTCCCGGCGGCCAGCTGACGGCGCGTCACGTGGGGTCACAAGTAGGCTCACATCATGCTCTGGGTCAGTGCCACCGTCAGCTTAACCAGCTTAACTCGCTTAACTCGCTTACCGCCTTAACGCGCTGTCAATAGTGACGCACTGATCGATGGGGTCATCTTCATTCCTAACCGTTTTCTTAAAAATACACTGACACCATGCATCACGACACAAATGACACCACGCAGGTAACCTGAAGGGTTAGCAGTCCGGCGCTACAGACGCAGGCGTTAGACGACCTGTCCTCCGGACGGTGCGCTTGAAGAAGCAGGAGCAGCCCGTCGCAGCAGACAGCGCCATAGTGACGGCCGAAGGAGCGGTCCCCGCAGAACGGCACACGGTGTCTGGGAGGGCACACCTCTGCCTGTGGGACGGGTACGGTGTCTGGGAGGGCACACCTCTGCCTGTGGGACGGGGTACGGTGTCTGGGAGGGGCACACCTCTGCCTGTGGACGGGGTAAGCGGTGTCTGGGAGGGCACACCTCTGCCTGTGGGACGGCACGGTGTCTGGGGAGGGCACACCTCTGCCGTCGGGACGGGGTACGGTGTCTGGGAGGGCACACCTCTGCCTGTGGGACGGGGTACGGTGTCTGGGAGGGCACACCTCTGCCTGTGGGACGGGGTACGGTGTCTGGGAGGGCACACCTCTGCCTGTGGGACGGGGTACGGTGTCTGGGAGGGCACACCTCTGCCTGTGGGACGGGGTACGGTGTCTGGGAGGGCACACCTCTGCCTGTGGGACGGGGTACGGTGTCTGGGAGGGCACACCTCTGCCTGTGGGACGGGGTACGGTGTCTGGGAGGGCACACCTCTGCCTGTGGGACGGGGTACGGTGTCTGGGAGGGCACACCTCTGCCTGTGGGACGGGGTACGGTGTCTGGGAGGGCACACCTCTGCCTGTGGGACGGGGTACGGTGTCTGGGAGGGCACACCTCTGCCTGTGGGACGGGGTACGGTGTCTGGGAGGGCACACCTCTGCCTGTGGGACGGGGTACGGTGTCTGGGAGGGCACACCTCTGCCTGTGGGACGGGGTACGGTGTCTGGGAGGGCACACCTCTGCTGTGGGACGGGGTACGGTGTCTGGGAGGGCACACCTCTGCCTGTGGGACGGGGTACGGTGTCTGGAGGGCACACCCTCTGCCTGTGGGACGGGGTACGGTGTCCGGGAGGGCACACCTCTGCCTGTGGTACGGGGTACGGTGGTCTGGGAGGGCACACCTCTTGCCTGTGGGACGGGGTACGGTGTCTGGGAGGGCACACCTCTGCCTGTGGGACGGGGTACGGTGTCTGGGAGGGCACACCTCTGCCTGTGGGACGGGGTACGGTGTCTGGGAGGGCACACCTCTGCC